GCAGTGCCATGGCTCTCTTGTGCTGGAGAGCCCAGAATTGCACACAGTACTCCAGATGCGGCCTCCCCAGGGCTGAGGAGAGGGGCAGGATCACCTCCCTCGACCTGCTGGCAACACTCTGCCTAATGCACCCCAGGAGACCATTGGCCTTCTTGGCCACAAGCCCACATTGCTGCCTCATGCTTCACTTGTTGTCCACCAGCACTCCCAGCTCCTTCTCTGCAGAGCTGCTTTCCAGCAGGTCAACCCCCAGCCTGTACTGGCGCCTGGGGTTATTCCTCCCTAGGTGCAGGACCCTGCAGTTGCCATCACCCTGGTACCAGCCATGAGCTAGCAAGGGTTTCTGTCCCCTTCTGATGCTCTCCCAGCTTCTTGCTGTGTGCCCATACAGCATCTCCCAGAGGTATGGGCATCTTTGGAAGAGAGAGGGAGCACAGTCTAACCAGCAAGCCAAGTTTCAAGCCCCGCTTCACCTCCCATCCATCCATCCATCCATCCGACCAAAAAAAGGCACCCTGGAGCAGCACGGGCCTTCTTACATGGTCTGTCCCATGACACCCTCCCGGGGAGGGAGTGTGCAAGCCCAGCCTTACCTTCGAGGGACTGCGTGGGTCTGTAGTGGACTTTCAAGTGATCCATCAGCTCCTGCATGCTGTGGAAGGCCAGCTTGCAGCCATAGCTTGAGCACTGGTAGTGCTTCCCTGGAAGGAGACACAGCCGTTGGTCCTGGGACAGGCCCACGCACCCACTGCTCGCCCAGCTCTCAGCCTCTCATCCTGCCCAGCACACGCAGGCCAAGGTGAGCCTCCCCAAACCCCCTCAGCTGCACCAGCAACCAGCCAGCAGCTCCAGCTGGGGGCTATGAGCCACCCTGCCACGCAGAGGGCCCTCCTAGACCTGGACAGGACAGGCTACCTCATCCTAGCAAGGACAAAACCCACCCCAGAGCCACCGCCTTCTCCCATGGCATTTGCAGTGCGCCATCCCCGCTCTGGGGAGGCCCCGCAGAGCCCCATGCTGAGCTCACCGGGGACAGGTCGGCGTTTCAGCAGCCGCAGATCCTGCGCTTGCCCTCCTCCGCCTCCGCTCCCCACCACCGGCATCTGGCTGCCGGACAGAGCTGGGTCGCTGCAACCTGGCGGAGAGAGTCCTTCCAGGTTAAAATCTGCTGGAGATGTAGCTAAGCACTCATTTGTGCATCACCCAGCTTGGAGGTGAAGGCAGCAGCACAAGGATGTCACATCAGAGAGTCACTGCTAAGCTTAAGTGCACCCGCAAACACAGAAATCCAGGAATGCTCAAAAAAGGCATTAGCTGTGCCCTCTCCTCCCACCTGCCCTGGATTCCTTGCTCCTGGGTGGGCAGTTTAGCAAGCCCAGAACCCAGCTGCTGCCAACCATTAACCTGAAGAAGCTGCAGAGATGGTACCAGGAATGCAGCAGGCAAGTCACCAGGCCGGAAATAAAGATGCCTGCAGCTCACACTGCCCTGGCCTGCTCTGCTGCTCCTGTGCCACAGTTTCCCCTCCTGTTGCGTCCTGCGTTCTGTTTAAACTCCAGGTGCTCGTAGCACCAGGAGATGACACACAGGACAGATTTATGTATGCTGCCCAGGCCTGGGGATTGGCACAGCCCTCAACGACACCAGCCGCAGGTTCAGATGAGCCAGGGTTGGACCTTTTCTGCCGGTCCCCTCCAGAACCTGGACGCTGGCTGGCGAGCCCAGAAGCAGGAGGCTCCCCCGGGGTCTGAACTTCGAGCAGGACACAGCTCGGCACCATAACTACACGCTTAAATGCCAATTTCTCTTTCAAGTTGAGCCGAGGTTTCTGTTTTGCAAAGATTGGCCCAATTCACTGTTCTGGCCTCATTCCTACCTGTTACAAACCAAGACCTTAAATGGCCCTGGCAGTTCTGGGATCTAGTGGGTCTGGGTTGGATGGAGCCAGCCAGGCAGGATCATTTGAGGGTGGTTAGAAGCGTGAGGGTCTTTGCTCTAGGAAAAGCTGTTGGTCTGGTGGCAAAGCTTGCTGACATCTTGCAGACACTGGATGATGCCCAGTGCACACGTGCACATGGACACACACACACGTGCACGCACTTGGGGTGCTTCTAGCTAGATCCAGTCCACCCAAACCCAAGCAGGGGCACTAGGTGAGAAGCATGAGTCCATGAAGCCCATCTGAAGGCACACTTGAGCAGAAACAGCCTGTCCAACATCCCTGCCGGTCACAGCCCCGCACAAGGTTTGGCGGAAGGGTCTTCACAGCAACATGAGAAAAGGTTTCTCCCCCACCTTGTGCTGCCCCCCATATTGCAAGGGACTCACCTGCCCCCTCTCCAGTGTATTTACTGCCCAAGAAGGTGGGCAAAGCCTCATCTTTCTCTGTCTTCATGGCCTCGCTCTTGATGGGCTCGGGCGAGGGGTACAGCTCAGGGAAAGCCAGGGTGGTGGCAGAGCGGGCCAGCACGCCAGACACCACCGACTGGGTCTTCTCCTGGTGGCGCTAAATCAAACACAAGGGTGAGAGGTTAGTCTGGCACAGAGCAATGCCAACAGCATCCTCCTCCTCCTGCTTGCGGAGCAGCGATGGTGGGACCCTATCATGGGAGGTCCCGGTTGGTGTTTCTAAAGCCTCTAAAGCCAGAGACTTTGCTGTCCCTTCCTGCCTCTCTTGCTCCACAGGCAGTTTCAGATCATCCATCAATCCCCTACAAAGCCCAACGAAGGTCACTGGCGTCAGCGGTACCAAAGCAATATTAGAGGAGCCTTTCTAACCTCTCTTGCTGCCAGCCAGGCCTGAGGCTTTGCTGGGCACAGTCTCACCTCCCGCAGGCCATCAGCTGGTCTAACGCAGTTTCTAAGGGTTCATTGTACTGCAAGGAGGACAACAGGCTGCAAAGCGCAGGCGGGGTGATGCCAAGTCCCGTCCCCGTGCCAAGAGGATGCTCTAGGAACAGCAGGTCCCGCTGCATGACTGTGAAGATCAGCAGCAGGGACCGCCCCCCTGAGGATGGGTGTTTTGGGACCTTTCCTCAGCCTGACAATCCTGGTCCCTGGCAAATGCCTTGGCCTCGCTCAGCCTGTGTGGGTAAGGGGGGCACATACGGTTCACGATCCCACCAGCAAGCTGTAACATTCAGAAAACCCAGCAATGCATTTAAACACCTGGCAGACTCCGGAGGCTCACTGTGCGGCAAGCGGACTCCTGCCTCGAGAGCTTCGAAAGACAGCCTCGATGCAATGCTTTTAAAGAAAGAATCTCCCAGTTTATCGAAAAAAAATCTACTTAAAAAATTCGCCTCTTGTGCAGCAGGCCAGAGCATCCCGCTCCTGACCATCACGTCCAGAGGCCATCGGAGACAATTTGGCACCAGGTCCCGGGAACAGGCAGTGACATCTAGGGCTGATCTGGAATCAGTTTTCCCAGCCAGGGAAACACAGACTCGGAGGAGGAAGGAGGACTAGAAATTTGACATTTTGCTACACTTTCAAGGCCTCGTGCTATCAGAAAAAACTCCAGGAGCGTCAAAGCTTTGTTCTTTCAGTTCCTGCCACTGCAACGTCTAGGTGCCATATGGATGCAGCATAAGGGGCTAAGCAAGAAGAGGCAGCCCTGCCTCGATCCTTTTAATGCTCCTTCTCCCCAAAAAGGAGATTCCCGAGACCTTTTCTTCCAACAAAACTGCATTTCCCCCTCCTGATGCAAAAGAAGAAGAAAAAAAGGTCTATCAAAATCCCTGCAAACTTTCTGCGCCAACCTCGTCTCCCACAGCCGCGCGCCGCTTTGCAAGGACCGAGCGAACCAAACCCCTTCGGCCAGGGCTGAATTCACAGACGCCTCCCAAAAAGGACCCCAGGGACCCCCCCGGCCGGCATGCAGGTCCCCCTCCGGCTTGCAAGGCCATTGCCACCGCGCTGCTCGCATCCTGCCAGCGCCGGGAGGGACGACGCCGAGTTAAAAAACAACCAACCAACCAACCCCAAGCCTGAACGCAAAAACAAAACAAAGCCGCAGGCCTGGCGCACCGAGCTGGGGGCGGGCGGCGGGAATAATCCCGTGCAGATTTCCCCCCCCTCCCCAATTCCCCCCCCCGC